GCTAAAAGATCTCTCTACATACGGAGTCTGATAACATTAGGGATGTTAGTCAAATACATTGTTTTATCCTACTGGATCCAAAAAGAGCTGGGAATACACAGAAATGATGGAAGACGGATCTGCATTTGGTCAGTCCCCTCCTCCTGCTTTTGAATAGATGATTGGGGCTAGTGATTACTATCTGTTTTTAACTGTGTATATGCAAACTTGTGCCCTAGTATTATTTTTCAGCTCAGAAAAATGCATGTGCAGCATCAATTTCTCTGCACATCTCCTCTTGAGTGGACATCATCACACGGGGGCAAATCTGCTGGTTAATCCACACAAAACCCAAACAGAAACTGGATTAGTGCCCCGTGTTTTCACACGACGTTGCACAGAAACTGGACAGAAAGTGGACAGAAACTAGTGTTAACCACACAATCTTTTGAAATTCGGTTGTTTGGAGTAAATGCAAATGCACAATTAAGGTAATTTCGCATTTACCGTAATGTGATAACCAAATGCGCATTTGGGAGCATTTCCCTGCTGTTGCCATGGTTCCAGCGAGCATTCCTCTATCTGCGCATGTGCAAGAAGCTCATTTCTAGTACATTTATGGTCTTTTTTCGCTTGTGTGTGGACGTTAAATGCGCTTACTGTAAATTCGCAATTAAGGTAATTACGTTTGCGGAATTAAGGTTTATTTTCCGTTTATTTTCAGAATGCCTCATTTCCACTTTATTTTCACTTTCTGGCCCATGTGTGATAACGTCCATAGACTAGTGGGGTTAGTCTGTGAGTTTATTTTAGTTTAGCCAATACAGGTAACTTCTTGCTGAAATTTACTGACATTTGCTTTGTGTTTTTATCTTACAGAAAACCAAGTGATAATAAAGTTTCTATATGCTTTCAGAAGACGCTAAGTTCAAGAAGTTAACATACCTCAGCATTTCTTTACATGATTTACATTTTGTAAATACTATGCTGTGTTCTGAAAGTTTCTTCTTAGGAATGTACAGAATACAGTAACTTGATATATTTACAACACTTTTTACATATTTTATTTATTGAATTAAAATTACGTAACTGCCTAAAAATAAAAATAAACAAAGGATAAATACACTGCACAACAACTTAACACCCATATTGGTTTTCTTCTATGATTTTTTGAAATGGTATATCAATGTTATTTACAAATGTATTACACATTTGTACTGTGTGTCCTGCAAATTTTGCATATCCCCATGTGCTTTGTTTGTATGCTAATTAGAATAACAGAAACTATATTCCTTCGTGTTATACACAAATAGTCTGGCAACAATACATTAACTACATTTTTTGTTCCCATGGGAAAGTTAAGAATGTTGAAAGCTGCAAAAAATCTTGAAATCTGCAGAAACTTTGAATAATCGTCTTCCTCTTGCAGTGTACTCAACCTAAATGATGCTACCAGACTTTTACTGAGTAGTAGCCTAATATGCAGTCCAACTTCCAGATGCCGATGATGATGATATTTATTTATTTATAACCTGCCTAATCACAAGGAATCCAGGCGGGTTACAGCAATAAAAAGCTGCTGGCAACACACAAAAAACAAGAGCCAGGGTGACCAAGTGGTTATTTCATCTACTGACAGTGCTGCAAATATGGGCCAGGATTCATAAAGATGGTTACAAATGCATAACCAAACCATGAAATTCCTTCCAAGAGAATCTAAACCTCTCTCTCTCTAGTGGTTGTCCTTTCATTATCAAGCGGCCTTTTCTACTCAAGCAGGCCTTTGGCAACTGACTGTATGATATGGACATAGGTTTTAAGTATATGAGCTGGATGTTTTAATTGCTCAAAGCAATGAACAATCACAGCATTCAGAAACCCACACAAACAATTGCGTAGTTGAATCCTAGAAGACAAATGTGCTAATTGTTCAAAATATTCTGCGAGGGGCAGCCAGAATATCATTTTCCACAGGGATGTCAAATCCACACTGGATATTCCCATTACTTTTCCGATAACTGCTCTGAAGGGTACCTCTGCTAGCGCCAGATCCTAGTTCAGCATTGGCAACAATGCCACTCATCTATGAGCAGTTGTGGGAATAGTGGTAGTAAAATCCAGAATGGATTCACCACCGCTGCAGCAATGCATTTAGCGGATGCGCTTGGGTTGTGCTCAGTTTGCCATATAAGCTGTTGTATTTGCTGTGGTGTTTGCACAGTGCAGCGAATGCATAAAATGGAATGCAAAGCTGTCTCCATGTAAAAGCCTGCCTGCAAAAAATATCCTCCCCAACATATACCATCTTAACTAAAAACTGAAACAACATGTAGGCCTCTGACTAACATCTCCAATTGTGTTTCTCCTGTTTGGTTTGTAACATCTTGCCTGATGAAGAAGCCCATGGAGCTTCGAAAGCTTGCAACCAGTATATTGTGCATTTTGGTTGGCCAATAAAGCTATCCCTGAGGGATTCATCTTAACTAAAGACTGAAACAACAACATGTAGGCATCTCTGACTAACATCTCCAACTGTTTTTCTCCTGTTTGGTTTGTAACTGATGAAGACGCCCATGGAGCTTCGAAAGCTTGCAACATAAAGTCTATTGTGCGTTTTGGTTGCCCAATAAAGGTGTCACTGAGGAGGACTTTGTGTACAGTTCGCCGAAGGCCTCCTCGGCCGCCTCAGTCGCTCTCTCCGCCGGCCGCTGGGTGGAGACGCCGCTTCGCCGTTTCCCTCAGAGCGCCACTAGGCCTAGGCCTAGGCCTCCGCCTCTGCTAGGCCTCCTCTTCCCGCCCCCAGCCATGGCGGAGGTGGAGGACGGAGAGGAGCCGGGCGCCTCGGCCTCTCACTCCGGCTCCTCCTCGGGCTCCAAGGCCGGCGGCGTGGAGAAAATGTTCTCCCTCAAGAAGTGGAATGCCGTCGCCATGTGGAGCTGGGACGTCGAGTGCGACACCTGCGCCATCTGCCGGGTGCAGGTCATGGGTAAGGAGGAGGAGGAGAAGCGAGGCCTAGCGAAGGCCGCCGCCTCCTTCTTTCCCTCACACACGCCTTGGCCCCGGGCCCCGGGCCCCGTCTCTCCTCCCCTCACGGCAGCAAGGATAATGCCCCTGCATGGCGGAATGGGGGTGGACTGGGTGGCCCTTGTGGTCTCTTCCACCTCGAATAATCCGGTTTGACACCGCTTTAACCGCCACGGCGCAAGGCTAGGGGATTCTGGGTAGCATAGTTTGCCTCCTCTGTAGTTAGCCCTCCTTTTGCAGGGCCTGCCCTACTTTTCAACGGCCTCTCCAGGAGGGATTCCCCCATGTCTTCCATTTGGAGCAGGACTAAGAAACGTGGATTTATACTTCTAGGAGTGTCTTTTAGCTTTTTTATTTGGTCATGACCACCATTTTTCTTGAGGTCCTACATTTTGCAGTGCCTTCTCCTCCTTTGGGGTTAGGACATCGGGTCACCCTGCCACCATTTCTATCTTTGTCCAAGAGGAATTCTCAAGTGTCCTCCATTTTGAGCATGACTAAGAAGCATGCGTTGATATTTATATTCATTAGTGTTTTTAAGCTTTTATCTGGTCATGCCCTCTATTTTTCTTGAGGTCCTACATTTTGCAGTGCTTTCTCCTCCTTTGGGGTTAGGATATCTGGTCATCCTGCCTACGTTTTTATCTTCTGTCCAGGAGGAATTCCCAAATGTCCTCCATTTTGAGCATGACTAAGAAGCATGCAATGACATTTATATTCATTAGTTTTTTTAGCCATTATTTGGTCCTACATTTTATGGTGCCTTCTCCTCCTTTGGGGTTAGGACATCTGGTCACCCTGCTTACATTTCTGTCTTCTGTCCAGGAGGAATTCCCAAATGTCCTCCATTTGGAGCATTGCCTAAGAAGCATGCATTGACATTTATATCCATTAGTATTTTAAAGCTTCTGTTTGGTCATGCCCTCTATTTTTCTTGGAGGTCCTACATTTTGCAGTGCTTTCTTTCTCCTCCTTTTTAGTTAGGTCAGTTGGTCATCCTGCTTACATTTCTATCTTCTCTCCAGGAGGAATTCCCAAATGTCCTCCACTTTGAGCATGACTAAAATGGCATGTATATTATTTAGTGTTTTTAGCCTTATTTTGGTGATGTCTTCCATTTTTCTTGAGGCCCTACATTTCCTCCTCCTTTGCGGTTAGGACATCTGATCACCTTGCTAGGTTTTGATACCACTTTAACTGCCATGGCTAAATGTGATGGGATTTTGGGAACTGTGGCTTTGTGAGACATTGAGCCTTCTTCTGGGAGTTCTAGTGCCACATCAAACTACAAATCTCAGGATTCCATAGCACTCAGGCATGGCAGTTAAAAGTGGTGTCAAACTGGATTATTTCTGCAGTGCGGAGGGCTGGGCAGGAAGAGGCCGCAGTTCGGCCTGGAGACATTTAAGTCCTCCTGAGGGGATCAGCACCCTCAGAAAGCAGCCCAGAAAGGCTCCTTTCTCTGTTCTCTGGTGGTGGAAAGGCGATAAACCTTACATCCACACTGCCTCAATAATCCACCACTCTAACTGCCATGGCTCAAGGCTATGGAATTCTGGGAAGTGTAGTTTGCTACATAGAAATATAAAATCATGTTTCTTAGTCATGCTAAAAATGGAGGGAGTTTTGGAATTCCTCCTGGACATAAGGTTGAAATGGAGGACATGGTCTGGAAAAGGAGGACATCTGGTCATCCCGCTCCAGAGTTCGATTCCCCGCTCAATCATGAAGCCCACTGGGTGACTTTGGGCAAGTCACACTCTCTCAGCTTCAGAGGATGGCAATGGCAAACCCCCTCTGTTAAAACTTGCCAAGAAAAACATGAGATAGGTTTGCTTTATTGTTGTGTTCCTTCAGGTAATTTCCAATTTATGGCGACCCTAAGGTGAACCTATCATGGGGTTTTCTTGGCAAGATTTGTTCAGAGGAGGTTTGCCATAGCCTTCCCCTGAGGCTGAGAGAGTGTGACTTGTCCAACATCACCCAGTGGGTTCACATGGCCGAGCTGGGAATTGAACCTGGTCTCCAGAGCTGTAGCCCAGCACTCAAACCGCTATGCCACACTGGCTCTCAGATGGTTGCTACAAATCAGAAATGACTTGAAGGGACACAACAGCAGCCAAATGTAAAAGAAAGCGAATGTTTTGTGCCTTGCTTCTCTTTACAGGCCAAGGGTGTTTGTCCCTATTGTCAGTTTTGGACCTTCCCTGACAATACAGGCAGATAATTCCCTTTTGGTGTTTCCTTATGTGACTCTGAGGGATGCTTAACATTAGATTGAAGCTCAGGGAAGGAATCTGCTCATCAGTTTGTTTCTGTCCTGACAGATATCTGCCACACTGAAGAGTTAAGGCAGTTTGACACTACTATAACTGTCATGGCTCCATCCTATCAAATCCTGGGTTTGTAGTTTGTTGTTGCACCAGAGCTCTCTGAGAGAGAAGACTTAAGTATCTCACAAAATTACAAATCCCAGAATTCCATAGCATTTAGCCATGGCAGTTAATGCATTGTCTGATTCTGCAGTGTAGATGCAATCAGAATAGCAGGAATCTCAGGCCTGACATTTGCAGAAACGTAGGAAAAATCACCAACACCACCATCCCTTTTCGGGAAGGGTGTGATTTGTAGGGCTCTGGAAATCAGTGTTCGAATCCCCACTCCACCACAGGAACCCACTGGGTGGTGACCTTAGGCAAGTCACACTCTCTCAGAGGAAGGCAATGGCAACCCTTCCTCTGAACAAACCTTGCTAAGAAAACCTTATGCCTTTGGGGCACCACAAATTGGAAACAGTTTATGAATCCTCAGATAACCTTTGTAATTTATACAAATATTAATTTATTGTGCCAAAAAAAAAAAAAAAAAGATGGAGAGTCTTGCTGTGTAGTAGGCCTTGAAGATTTATGCTAAATGTAATGGTCTGTGTTGTTTATCACAATTTGTATGGAACTGCATCTCTAGCAGGCCACTAAGTATTGTAGATAGAAGTACCCTTTCTGTGTACAAATGTTACAAAAGTAATAAAAATATTACAAAATATTATTCTGAAACAATTATATTACTTGTTACAAGATACATATTTAAGATACATATTTATGACTAGGTTCACATATGAAATACATGAATTGACCAGTTTCTTGCTCGACAAACATATTATGTATTGTGGGAGTATATGGTTGTATATTATAAGATGATATGTGTACAGCCACAATACCTTTTTTCAGTTAGTTGTTATCTTTCCTATTTGGTTTTACCGGAAGACAAAGCTGCTCTATGATTTAATACACATAACAGATGCTATTTGTGACTTAGTAAATTTGAAACTCTTTTAACTGGTAAGGTCTTTTATTTGTACTGTATACATGGTTCTGTTATCCACTTCTTTAATGCCCCTTTCTATTTGTTTTCCATCTTTGTAAGTTTTGGCTTTGTTCTCACAAGAGGAAGTACAGAGCAGTGTTAGTGGTAGGATTATAGTATATTGTATGAGCGCTGAATACAAAGAGCTGGGTTCCTTCATGTTAAAGTTTGCCACATTGTCAGCGCTTGTTTTCACCGATGCATAATTACCTTTCAACCAGAACATGATGTTCTTAAAGTAATTGTGTTTTAATATGTTTACTCAGGTGATGAGCGATAGTACATGTTGTAAATTAGTACAAGTTTTCCAAAGTAGTTAGAAAGAACAGTTTGTCAGTGACACTTCAGCATATTTTGCTGTACCAGAAATATGTCACAACCCTAGAATTCAAAGGTATAGTGTTAGTCTGTAGAGTCAGAGATGTAGAGAGATCTTGTAGCACCTTTGAGACTAACTGAAAGAAAGAAGTTGGTAGAATAAGCTTTTGTAGACTAAAGTCTACTTCCTCAGATGCATTTGGTGGAGTGGAAAGCCAGGGACAGACCTGTATTTTGTCATTAGTGTGTGAGAATATCAATTGAAATTCAAAATTCTTTGTGTATGGAAATGAAGTGGCAAATCCAATTTGAATGATGGTCATTTGTTAAAACTGGATTTGGCACTTCATTTCCATACACAAAAGATTTTGAATTTGAATTGACATTCTCACATACCAATGCCAATGTATGTCGGTCCTTGGCTTCCACTCCACCAAATGCATCTGAGGAAGTAGACTTTAGTCTACGAAAGCTCATGCTGTCAACTTCTCTATTTCAGTTAGTCTCTAAGGTCCTACAACAGGGGTAGGCAACCTGTCCCCTTTAAGGGCCGAGGGACTTCAGCTCCCAGAAGCCTCAGCCATGTTGGCCAATAGTCCCATGTTGGCCAATAGCTCCTGGGATTCTGGGAGCTGAAGTCCCTCGGCCCTTAAAGGGGAAAGGTTGCCTACCCCTGTCCTACAAGATTTACATACTTACAACCCTAGAGTTAGAATAGTTTATAGATGGTTTCCTTCACTGTGTTGCAGTGTCTTTTTTTTTTATAGGATCACATGAAGAGTTGTATTTAACAGAGATACGTGTATTTTTGCCAGTTCTTTCTACTCATGCCACTTCTAGAGCCTGTTAGAATTGCGGGAATTAATTAAATGCTCGGTCACATGGAACATTTGTTTATATAATCTTATAGACAAAGATGGAATCATATTAAAAAACAGATCTGTTTTTTGCCTCTATGAACCTTTGTGTATATCTCAAAAGTTTCTTCACTCGGAAATCTTCTGTATTGCTACCTAACTGGTGATGTATAAAAATCAGGCTTGATCATCTCACATACATGACCATGCCATTACAAATTCTACTTAGACATTATTTAAAATTATTTATTGCATTATGTATTTAAAAATTATGAGAGAAACTAAAATCAAGGTTGTGTGGTGTAGATGTGGCAGAATGAATTGGAGAACATATATCGGGATGGATTTGTACAAATGAGTTCTACATGGCACAGTATCTGTGCTCTTTGTTTTTCAGTGATTGTAGATACTTTGGAAAACCAGTTGTTAGAGCTACTTTCATATCATCATATTCAGTCTTGCTCTTGTTTACATCTAGATGCCTGTCTTAGATGTCAAGCTGAAAATAAACAAGAAGATTGTGTTGGTATGTTGTGATTTCATTTTCTTGTTATTTAACTAAAGGCTTTCTCTTAGTAGGGTGCTTTTTAATGTTTCAAGTAAGTACCTCTTAGTTTTGCACATCAGTGAAATTCAGTAAAGGTTCACTAATGTAAAAGGCATTATTGTATAAAATACATGGAAATCTCCATTTAGTTTTTTCTGTGTGTGAATCAACCATGAAAAACCAGTTACATAAGCTAGAACGTTTATTTGTGGAGGTAATAGTCACTACATCATCTGTTGTCTTTACAAGCATTTCTTATAAAATATGATTTGTTGAACAAAGTAAAGTATCATTTTAAAATGAAATAAAATAATTTAGTTCCACAACTTATTTTTCTTGGCTAAAGTTCTTAAAAGTTTCAAGAAACATATTTTTGTATTATTAACTTTTTGTTGTTGTATTAAAAGAAAGCATTAGAGAATTGAATTGTTAGTATTGCATAGATTACATGCAGTCCTTCATTTTAAACAAATAGGGCAAGATCCTGCCAAAATTAATCACTTTCAAGTTCTCTTAATTTGTTGGAAAATAAGATATGTTTACAGCACATTTCAGACCTATTCATGCATTCCCTTAGACTGTTTTGCATGTTATTGTTTTAAAATCTGTAATCAAAATAGATTTATTGGTATTGTTACCACTTCATCTACACAAGAAGCTCAACACTATGGAGATGCAAATTTTTTGTTGCGGCCCAGAAGTTCAGTAAAAACAAACTGGCACTTTTTGATTGTGTAGTTGTCCCCTATTCCTGGTCAGTCTTTTCAGAAACACCTTTAACAGCAATGTCTTCTTGGGTTAATCTCAGCTTTGTGCATCTGGATCCTGCAGTTTCTCTGCACTGTTTGTGGGAAATTACTCAGCCTTGTAAGGTTGGACGGCGAACAGCAATTTTCAAATGTTCTTACAGATTTCCAATTGGCTTGTAGTCTGCGCTTTGACTGACCCATTGTAAAACATTCACATTCTTGGGGTTTTTGGCCTATCTTCAAAAAAAGCCCGGTGTTGTGAGCATCCAGGTGATAGTTGTCCTTTGGATGGTTTCTTCCACTTCCCTGCATATCTCTCCAAAATGTTCAGATTTGGCATTGGCCTCTTGGTTCTCTGACTAATACCCTCCATACGCAGTCAGAGTTTTGGCAGACAGACTTCTCTGGACATAGTCACAGCTGAGACATAATCTTTCCAATTTTTTAAATAATGCATTTAATGGAGGTCCAGCAATTGTTCATAGTTCTGTATTTTAAAAACATTTTAACCTTGATTGGTACTTCTATACAGTTATCCTAGGCTTGATTTGATAGCTGGGTTTGGGTTTTTTAGAAATTCTCTCCAGCAAATTCTGGGGCCTTCCTTAGCCACTTGTATTGAATCTGAGTCATGTGGCACTGGAACAGCACCCAGGTGGAAACCATTCAGTTATTTAATGTGATCATACTTGAACAGTGATTCCCAAAGTGGGCAGTATTGCCCCCCTGGGGGTGATGGAAAGATCCAAGGGGGCAATGAGGAAAAAAGGTGGCAAGGGAGTCTTCAGTCAAAGTATTGGCATGCAAGAAAGACAAGGGGAACCAGCGGCTTTTAGTGGAGATGAGGAGTTAGAACACATGGCAGTGGGGGAGAAGTAGCAGCAAAAAGGAGCCTTCACATTTGGAACACTGCTTAAACATTGTGAGCTTTGACAGGCAGGTTGGAGTTGTACTTCTGCTCCTGCTTTCTTTCATTGAGGTTGAGACAAGAGGTAGCAGAAAAAAACAAGGTAGGGGGTGATTTAAAGCTGTGTGGGGAAAGCACACAGGGGAGGAGTATCCAGGGTTGATTTCTCAAAGGAGTCCTTACTTCTCTCACCTCTCTTGGATTGAGAGTCCTTCTTCACGAAGAAGTAGTTTTCCCTTTGCACCTGGTCACCTTGGTGAAGCAACTGAGCAACCAGTTGAGCAGTGACCAAGAAGCCTCTTGGCAAAGGCTGACATGGACAAGAGG